GGTTTATAACATCTGGATAATGGTTTACAATCTCTTCAGGATCAATTGGGTGATAGTGGGCTCGGTGAGGGATGTGTTATGGGCGTGGGAGGGTTTATGTAAAAAGAAAACTTATTTCCTTTTAATTCCTTTTACCCATCTTTTGGGTTGTGTGGAAAGAGAAAATTTCTAGAGCTTTCAATGGAATTCAGTGGGAGATGGTTAATATTAGAGATAGACAGTTCCATGTTTTTGGGTTTGTGATTCTGGATCATGACATTAATAACATGGAAGATTTTGGAAAGGTCATTGACCATTTAATTGACTTGTAAATATCTTGTATACGGGATGTATCCCTTTGGTACCAGTTGTTGATATTAATACAACTTCATGCTTTTATATGAAAAAAGATATTTCCTGAATATGGTATGGTCTAAATATTATATCAAGCTTTGTTCTTAGATACATAATGGAACGTTCTTTTCTCTATCTGCATTTGAGAATGGCCATTGAATTTCTTTTAATCTCTTATTTTTTTTTAATAATTATTATTTTTTCCATTGGAGGCATGTTAACAGGCATACCTGCAGAAGTTGCTTGCATTGGAAAAGCAAGTCGTATGTCATCACGTGGCCTTGCGCTGTATCTGTACTTTGCTTGATGCAGTGCCCCACTTCAACTTCCGTGAAAGCTTATTAGGTGCTGTTGTCAAAAATATCAGCTCCCAAGATGATGTCATAAGGTTCTAAGTATTTATAATCTTTTCTCTTAACATTTTAAAAATTATATACTTATGCTCCTGTATTTGGATATCCCAAGGACAGAGACAAAGTTAATATTTGATTAGTGAGTTCAGAGGTGTAGCAAATGATCTGACCACATTATGAAGCCGTATGCTGAGATTTGTTAAAACTTTTTTTTTGAAATAAAAAGTATAAGTATATTCATTAATTACAGGCACCAAGGAGGTGCCAACCCTTATACAAAATATTTCTACATATCTGTAAGGATTTCAATAAGGTCACATAAGTCCTCAATAGAGAGATTTGTTAAACTATGCTGGAAAGTGGATCCTTTGTTGGATAGGCATTCTCTAACTATGAGTTTGATTGAATCAAGGAGGGTGTAGTTTTGCTGGTTGTGCAAAATATTTTAGATTTTGTTCTGCCTCATGGTTGATGAATCTTACAAAATATCATTTTCTTGTTTTTTTGGCCAATCAATAAGATAATGGCTTCGTCCTGTTTTTAAATTGAGATTTCTGCAAAATTTTTATGTTACTAAGGAACAGCTTAAGAATTTTTTGCATAAAGATTGAGTCATGAGCATAACCTTTAAATTAGGGCCTCTTATACCTGATATGTTTTCCAGTAAACGGGCTGAGTCATGCTTCCACTTCTGAGGCTCTCACCACAACACTACAGTATGGTCCTTGTTCACTTTTTAGCAAGGGACAGCTCTATTCTGAATAAGTTTTCACTTCTCTTCAGTCCAAATCTTTTATGAACACCACTTCTATTGATGCCTTTTACCATGATTGTTTCTTTGGCCATTGTGTTGACATTTTTTGCCTTTATATTGGATGTTTTTATTCTTAAGTTCTAATAATTGATGTTTTGTTCAATTAACTGACCTGCCCACTCTGCAACTTTAACTAATCATTGCCTGTGCCTGCCTGACCACTCTTTTATTTGCTGGATTTTTAGCTTAAATTTGCAGCTTTGATTTTCGCCACACCTTTATATTACCAGTCTGACCATTACCATGGCTATGTGGCTATGTGGTTTACTTGATTGCAAATCCACTAAAGTTGATTATTACTAATTATGTAATACTCATCATCTAGGATTCTAACTTACCATTACCTGGATTATGTCGTTTACTTGATTGCATGTCCACTAACGTTGGGATACTACATTGCCAGTCTGATCATTTGTAATACTGGTCATGTAGGTGATCTCCTATGTTGGTCAGTTTCTTTGATAACTTACTGAATTATTACCTTCTTGTTGGCAGGAGACTCTGTTGTTCTACTGTTAGGTCGCTCTTTGCTAATGAGGGAAAGCATGGTGGTGAAGCTACCATGGAAACTCTTCGATTAATTGCAGACCATGTGAAGACAAATAATTGTCAATTGCATCCTGATTCTGTTGAGGTAATATTACACCGCAAAAAAAAGAAAAAAAATAAAAATAAGAACAGAAGAAAAAAGTAAATTTTATCATTTTCTAATAAGTGAAACCAGGGACTTCATATTTCTTAATCAAGTGCCTGAAGTACCTTTGTTAAACTTCCTTTCTTGACTTTTATAGGTACGTGCAGTTCTTAATAGAAAGACAACTATCTATGAAAGAATAAAAGCTGTAGAGATAGAAAGTGCTTCCAAACTGGATTTCAAACTAGCCTAATTGCCTCTCTTCCTCAATCTACTCCATCCTCTATAGAGATCTTTGGCTATCTAGAGAAAATCTTCTGATGTCATCTTAGAGTTAGGGCAGCTGGTATGTGGGGATTTCAGGAAATGGAAAGGGTACATTATCCTCCATTTCTCTCACTGATTTGAGGGGGATTGGTTTTCTAAATAATTTTGTTGACTGTGTTGGGGATGTACAGAGGGAGGAACTTCTTGTGTTAAAGATATGAAAGGTGAGTAGTAGAAGGTTGTTCTACTTGGCAGGTACTCAGGTCGATGGTTAGTTGTCAGTTGGATGTGATTGGCAAGGTGCTGGGTTGAACTTGAATGTTTTTAGGTGTCTAGATGTGGTTGAATTAGGAGAAAATGAGTGGGAGAAACTCACACTTTTCTAGGAAAATAGGTTTTCTTGTTTGAGAACAACTTCGATCGAGTGTGAAAACTTGTCCCTCTCTTGGTTTAGGTACAGTGGAGAGAGGTTATCATGCCTAGTCTTTACCAAGGCTCTGTAGGTCACGGGTCTATAGAAGTGATCCAAAGGTACTTTGGGTGAGGCTAAGTTCAAAATTCAAAAAGAAGTTCTACTAGAGGGGAAAAGGTGTACTGGGCTTTGGTTGTTTAAAGGCCTATCAGTTGAAGGGGAGAGGATTTTGATTAATCAAGGAAGTTGCCAATTGTTTGTATTTTATTGGGAAGATAAAAACTACTTTTTTTTGGGAATTAAAATTAGTGCAGGATATATAGGCACCAAGTGGCTGCAGCCTCTGTATACAAACCTTTACAGATTTCTCAAACATTATTTAGTTTCCTAAATCCTTCTAAGTATAAAGAGGATGATGCTAATAAAAAAACCTAAGAGTTTGGAGCCAAACTTCCTTGATCCTATTAAAAGAAAATTTAATGTCTTAAAAAGTTCTTGTTTCTTTTTTTCCAAATAATACATACAATAGCTAGAGGGATAAGACTTAAATTCTTATTGTAACACTTTCCCCATGTATGCCTCTTTGGGCCCAAATAACTTGCCTACTGTCCCAACACGAGGCGAATTTGTCATTCATCGGGCTAACACTTTAATTCGTGAAGACAAGGTGAGAGGGGAGAGAATAAAAGCAAAAACTAAAAATAAACTGGGGTGTGTAAGACACCTTAGACATGGATCTGATCTGAAGAGAAAATAGGGAAGAAGAAGAAGAACAGAGAAGAAGATGAAGAATGTTGAAGAGAAGGAAAACAAAATATTTTTATTGATTAATTTCCATTCCTTTACAGACAATGGAAGATGACCATTTATAGGCTAAATGCAATAAGGGAAACGTTCTTGTTGGCGGAATCAACTTGTCGAAATTACGCGGTTGGTGAGCACGACGTCCGTCGCAGGATGAAATGAAGATGGCTGAAGCATCGGCTGCGGGATTGATGAGCTGATCAGGATTGACAAACCCAGCCCTATTTTTCTTATTATGTTGTGTTTTTGTGTGAATTTCCTAACTTACCCTTCCTTTTACTTTACCCTAAATGATTCCTGACAGGGTGTCGGATTCTAGACGACTGAGAAGGCTGCAGTCCAGTATTAATTACGGCAATTCAAGAAGAGGGAAAAAGAAGGGAGAGGAGGTGCTTGAAGATGTTTGATCCATGTTTGGTTGCCTTATTTCATGGAATATTAGGAGGATAAACAACTATAAGAAGAGACAAGTTATAAGAATTTGTTTGAATAGATGAAAGCCTGATGTGATTTGCCTTCAGAAATCTAAAATGGAATATATTTCTGACTGAATTGTCCGTGATCTTTGGAAGAATAGGGAGATTGGTTGGAAAGATCTTCCTGTAAGGGGAACATCTGGTGGGTTTTGATCCTTTAGAAGGATGGGGTTCTTAAATGTGAGGAGGTGATGTTGGGGGAATGCTCTATTTCATGCCTGTATGAAGATTGTAGAAATGAGTGGAAACGGGTATTCACTAGTGTCTGCAACAGAGGTGGAGAGAGGGTTTCCCTGTGGAAGGACTTGGAGGATTGCAAACAAAAATGGGACTACCCGTGGGTTGTGAGAAGATTTTAATATGATTTTGTATAGACATAGTAGGTCCAGAGATCATTTCTTAAGGGTTTGAATAGAAGAATTTAAGGAGACTCTTGATAGAATTGTTGGATTTACCTCTTATTGGAGGTAAATGAACATGGTCAAATCAGAGACTCAATTCTGCTTGTTAAAGAATTGACAGGCTTTTGGTGTTGGTTACCTGCCACCTGCAAATTAAGGACTATGCCAAAAACTTCTGCAACTGACCATTTCTAATTATTTCTCTATTTTAACTTGTCTCTGATGGGGGATCATGTGGGGTCCTTGCCCATTCAGGTTAATGACTTTTGTGATAAGATCAGCCCATTCAGGTTAATGACTTTTGTGATAAGATCAGCAATTGGTGGAGAGAGGTTATGGTGAATGGTAGGGCTAGCTTTAGGGTGGTTTAGAAGATGAAGGTGATGAAGACTAAAATTAAAAAGTGGAGCAAGGAGGAGGGAGGAGTAAGGGAATGTATACTCAATCTGTACTACAGGACATTGAGGCCATTGATAGATGTAGGGGGAGGGTGTTCTGTCCGATGTTTACAAGGATAAGTTCCAATTGGTAAACAAATTACAAATGGAAGAGATATCTTGGAGACAAAAATCGAGTTTAGGTGGACAAAGGAGGAGGATAGGAATACAAAATCTTTCCATAGTATGGCAAATCATCATAGAATGACTAATTATGTGGAGGAGATGGAGATAGATGACCAAATTGTGAAGGGTAATGAACAATTTAGGCAAGGGGTCATGGAATTCTTTGGTAGATTATGTTGCGAGGAGCTAAACTGGAGACCTAAGTTGGATGGTCCTCCTACCATCAGAGACCTGGGTTTAATTGGGTACCAAATTTCAATTATTGCTCCTCCTTTCCTCTCGCCACAAAGCACCGATTGAAATTTTGTCTGTCTTGTAGTACAGTAAATTGGAGTTTCCATCATTGTATAGCCTGATGATAGAGAATCGAGAGCTCTCACTTTGTAAACTTTTAACTCTTTC